ATTCAGCTACTTATTTTAGCCGTTTGTCTTTTTACGGTACTGCTAGCGCCGGAACGTCCGGCCCTTAGCTGGCGTCCGGACGCAGCTCTCATTCATCGTATTATATGACCTTCGCAACAGGAGCATGCGGCGCGCCCTTTGCAACCGGAGCGTGCGCGGTGACGCTGCACCCCCCCTCCCATCCCTTGCCGCGCCCGACAGACCCAAAGAGAGCTCGAGCGGCATCTACCACGGGTTAGGTTCTCGTGTTGCCATGTGCCTGCCGCACACACCCAGCACATGAGAGAGACAAGAGAAAGAGGAAGATAAATAAAATTCTGTACTGCAACCTCAAACAAAAAAATCTCATAGAAGCCAGAGATAAGAGCAAAATTATTAGTTTCTACCCCTCACAACATGTTTCATTGAAAAGATTCTCGAAACAAATCAAGTCATCAGCCACAACATCCATGAGTTTCTATTAGAACATCATAGAGGCACATGTTGCAACATAGGAGAAAAACCCTGTTTGCAACATCAAAACGATTCAATTTTAACAATAGAAGCTACACTTAGGAGCAACAGAAAAATGGTTAATCAGTTGGCAAAATAATCAATTACTGCATCTCAGTTTTATTGCTGCAACATGAAAAATCATTTGTTGTAACATCTCATTTTATTTACTGCAACATGGAAAACCAACAAAATGCAACATCCAATAGCCGGGGTACAGAAACATCAAAATAAAGGAGATGCAACATCTCTAATCAACATGATAAAATCATTGCTTACTGCAACACCATCTGCTCAACAGGAGATACTAGTTTTATTGCCACAACGTGAGAGACCATCTACTGTGACATCTGATTTATTGTGGAAACATGAGAAACCTTCTGATGCAACATAGAAAAACAACCAATGCAACATCCCAAAAAACCATATTGTAGGGGACCGTGACGCCTAAGAGGGGGAGGGGGTAAATTAGGTAACTTAAAACTCTAACTCTAAACTATGGCATCTTTTTTTAACTCTAGCAAAACCTATGTAAAAGATAAACTATCTAAATGTACAACTACGGTTTTGCTAGTGTATTTCTATCTCTACCGCAAAAGGAGTAATGTAATCAATGTAAATGCGGAAGCTTAAAGAGCAAGGTAGCGATATGCAAACTCCCGTCGACGACTCTAGTATTTTTACCGAGGTATCGAGAAGCGCGCAAACTTCCCCCTAGTCCTCGTTGGAGCCCCTCGCAAGGGCCAAGCTCCCGGTCGGGTAACTCCGTGGATAGCCTCGAACCTTCCCCACGCGCAAGTGGGTCTCCGACGTGCCTTCCGGCAAGCCTCTTTCCGGATGCTCCTCGCCGTCTTCACTATCAAGCTTCCGGCCGAAACAACGCGAGCCTTGTTCCCTCCGGTACACGGTGGCGGCCACACCACAAACGCGGTTGGTGTGATCTCGTAAGACTACAAGCCCCTTCGATGTACAACAATGGTGCGCGCAAGCACCAAGTGGTAAGAGGTATGCAAACCTCACTAAACACTAGGCCTAAACCTAAAGCAAGCGCATAAGCGGTGGTCTAATCAACCTAAACACTTCGCAAAGCACCTACGCTAATCACCTAATGAAAACACTAAGCACTATGCAAGTAGAGACCACTAAAATGGTATATCAACACCTTTGATATGTTTCCTCAGCTCCACACACTTTATTTGACCGGTTGGGGGTCTATTTATAAGCCCCACTGAGAAAGTAGTCGTTGGGGTTGAAATCCCGCTTTTCTGCTACTGACCGGACGTTGATCACGTCCTGACCGGACGCGTCCGGTCGTCCCGACCGTTGGAGCCGCGATCCACTAATCGGACGCTGCCAGCATCCGGTCACATGCCACCGGACGCGTCCGGTCGCATTTTCGTCGCTCTGGAACCTCTCTGTACTCGACCGGACTCTGCTGTCCTGCGTTCGGTCGATCTGCCGCCAGCGTCCGGTCCAGCGTCCGTTCACGCCTGTTGCCGAGCCTCTTGATCGGAGCGTCCGGTCACTTTCCTCTAGTGTCCGGTCCAGCGTCCGGTCACCTCTGTGAGCTCATTTCTTCGCGATCTTGCGTATGGCTTGGTTCCTATCTTCGTGCTTGGACTTTGCTTGATATCTTGGGTCTTCTCTTGTGCTTCTAAGGTCTTGCTTATGGTGTTGATCATCGGATCATCATGTCGCCTTCGTTCAAGTCACGTCTTGCATCCTATTGAACTACAAAACAATCACTTGCGACTTCATTAGTCCAATTCGGTTGTGTTAATCATCAAACACCAAAATCCAAAGTAAATGGGCCAATGGTCCATTTTCTTACACATATATTGAGCAACTGCAGCCCTAGATCCAAAAGATGAGGGTGTGGATCTAGGCCTCCCTGAGCAACACAAGATGTCGGCTTGGAGCATGAGGATAGCAGCAACGGACGGACTCGTAATACGTCGACTTGCCGATGAAGGAAGGTGGACGAGCGAGAGAGAGAGAGAGAGAGAGAGAGAGAGAGAGAGAGAGAGAGAGAGGATGCTTGCTCGCTGTTCTAGGTGGGAGCTCTCGCTGAAGAGGGAGGGGGAGTGAAGCTGGTGAGGGGCGTGGTGGAGAGGGAGGCAGTCAGCGAGCAGCTGCGGTGGAGAAATTGGCCGGCTCTAGACGGACGGCTACGCAGGATGGAAGTCTAATAGATTGGGGTGAGAAGCTGATACTGATAAGGAGATATAAGGACTTATTCGGTGGATGGAGACGGAAGACTGTTGGGCCGTTCGGGCCCAGCCACGTTGTATCCTTTAAATTGAAGCCATCCGGACATCCTCTTCTTATCAATTCAGTTTGTTTTATACTCCATCTGTTCGGAATGGCAAGTCGTTATAGCCTTTTTTAAGATATACTGTGCTACTTATTTTTCTTTCAATGAGAAAAGTGCTCAGACACCGTCGTGAAAAAACTGATTGTAAGTAGTATTATTTAGCAAAGAGAAAACACTATGGCCAAGAACGTAGATAGTGGCTATTGCACCCATTTTAAACGGTAGTCCATTTTAGTTTTGTCTTTAAGTCAAATTTTCTAACTTTAATCAAATCTACACAAAAACACACCAATATCTATAGCATCACATTTATTCCATTAAATCAACCATAAAACATGTTTTGATAGGGATTTTGTTTGTTGTTATGTCAATATACTTTTGTATGAACTAACTTAGAGAAGTTTTTGTTTGTGATTACACGGTACAATACAAACACTCATAACGCACATACTCATCCCTATAAACACACGTACATAAACACAGCATCTTCGAAGGCTAGACTGACAAATCATCGAGATTGACAAAGTCGCCATAGGCACCGAACATCGCCTACCACAGTACAATGCAGACACTTATAACGCACGCACACTCACCCTATGAACGTATGCATGCAAACCCTACCCTACGAGCATCTTCAAAGATTGGACCCACAAATCATCGAGATTGATAAAGTCATTCACAGACGCCTCGCTGTCGACGGGAATATCGCCTACCCCTGAAAGCACAACGACGTTAAATCCTGGAATATTCGCTCCCACGAGGAGTCGAAATCAGGACTTGAGGTGCTTTTAGTTAGAGAAGTTTGATTTACAGTAAAACTAAAACAATATTTGAAACAAAGTGAGTACATAAGAAGGTTGCAATGGAATGCAGAAAGTTCGTAGAAATCATATAGGAATTTTACAGAAGTTAGTTCATTTTTCATAGAAAAATGCACAAAAACAAGAAAGTTTCATGGGTTCCAAAGGGGGCCTTAAACATATGCGTTTCCACAACATGACATAATATGATCTAATTTTATTGGATTTCTCCCACAATGGAAAACATAAATTAAATATGTTTATGAAAAAATGGGATTTACTAAAATTCAAGTGCCTGAATTTAGTTTATTTTCAGACGACGGCTATTGCATATATTTTATACTAAAATTGCAGATTTCATTTGTTGCAATTTCTGTAAACGTAATTTTCGAATCTGAGAATAAAAAACCCGTTATACAAATCCACGAGCCCGACAAATCTAATTTGTGTTGGCACAAAGACAATTAACAATTTATAATTATTTTTTATAGGAAGACAAGGATAAAATTTGATATGTTATAACACAAAGATAAATAACAAATTACAAAAATAACAATTTACTTGTACTAGTTAGAGATACAAAAGTGCTGCCTGAAATCATCTTAAAATTCAGACACTTGAAATATAGGAAAAGTGAAAAAAAAAGATTAAACCTTCTTTTCAGTTTGTATATTCGAATTACTCGATGCAAAGATACCTTTATAAAACTTCTAATATGTAAAATTCGATTCAATTTCTAAACGAGATAGGGTGCCAGGTGAAAACCTACTCCAGCTAGATGGATGACGTCGGCACCAATGGTATCATGCTCGTCGTTGGAGGCGTCACCTTAGAAGTTTTCAGGCCCATATATTTAAGAGCGAGTATAAATGCATATTAAAACTAATGGATCAAATAAAAAGATTCTTCAAACCAACTGAAAGGCCTGCTGTAACAAATTAAAAGGTATACCGCAACAAATTGAAAAGGACCTATCCGAATTGTGACAGCAACGACAACAAAATTGAAGGTCTCTTGCAACAATTCTAGCTTAATTAAAGTTTGTTGTTCTACTCCAAAGCATGCTCATATACATCTGCACTTCTGAAGATCATGTTGAAACTGCCTTACAATTTTAGACACTTTTTCCCCTTAGTAGGACAACCCAAATGCAAACTTGCAATGGATGACATGCAATTTTATTCAATATTTTCATGATTCAATCCACTTGGAGTATCTTCTGTTCAAAGAGAGAAAATGATGAACTAAAACTAAATCTAATGTGCCTACTCCTTTCATTTCTGTATCTATCTACATTGCTTCTTCTTCTCCCTCTTGCATCCAAAGAAGCGAAAATTAGGCTAAACTCTCTATTCCCTTCTGCAATCTATCCATGCATATATGCAGATGCAGGGCTATCTTGAAGAAGCCTTTGCCAGCCCAACCAGCCTCACCGGCGACGGCATCCTCCTCCTCTTCTCGGCCTCGGTATTTGTCTCAAGCCCCGGCGACCACGGCCTCTCCGCTCGCGCCCCCACAAGCTGCATGTAGTGCTTCCTCAGCTCCGGCGTGCTGCACAGCTGCTCCGCCGCCGGGGTGCCACACTTGCCGCCGCCGCCGCACGACGTTATCACCTTCTCGATGAACTCGGGCAGGATCCTGATGAGCGGCGCGCCGTCGGAGCCCGTGACGTACTCGAACGGGGACGCCGCGCCGCCGGCGAGGGGCACCTTCGCGGCGGAGGACGACGGCGAGAGCTTGGCGAGCGTCGCGGCGGTGAGCGCCTGGCCGCACGAGAAGCGTGCCGCGGGGAGCACGAAGTAGGTGCGCCCGGACACGAGCCGCTCGCTCGGAGACAGCACCGGGACCGGCAGGCCGATGAAGAAGGAGTCCCCGGCGCAGACGAGGTGCTGGTCGGGGAGCTCCGCCGTGACGTCCCCGGCGGTGATGGACCGCCGCTCGTCGGCCATCCTCGCCGACCCGCCCCAGAACACCAGCCGCGCCGCCTCGCCGCCGTGCGCGGCCCTGGGGCACAGACAAGGGGAGAGGCCGTTGCCCATGGCGAGGGAGGGTGCCTAGACAGAAGCTTCTGGAAGTTGCGAAGGTGAAGGATTGTGAATTGGTGTTGAATGGTGGCCTGGGGAGGCGTCGCGTGGAGATGCATTTATAGGGGAGGGTTGACCACGTAGAGGGTCTGACTTTGGAATGGTCAGAGGTTGGTGTTTGATTTCTTTGTGTTAGCTAGAGAGTTGACCACCGATAGGTGTTCAAAATCGAAACAGTCGGCCTTAGTTAATTAATTGTTATATAGTGGGACGCTTGTTCGTCAACGCTCAGCTGGGGCCATACATCTGGAAACTTTTACAGCTTGTTCGGTTGGCTTGTGCTTGTCGTAAATGATCGTAAATTTTCAGTCGGAACAATATTTTTTTCTCACACCAAACCAGCCAGCAGTACTTCTTCACGAACCAGCAACGAATGAGCCCAGCCAAACGAACAGCCTGTTAGTAGTGCTCGCACGGAGACGGCGCCGAGACTGGCATGGCGACGAAGAAGGAGCTCCGGTGAAACTCTAGCATGCCATGGTGGGATGGTAGGAGGTGGGCGCACGAGGAGGAAGAAGGTCGGGTCGCACCTTAACCGGTTGGCTGTGGTCGAGGGCCGTTGACGCCGCCGGAGCCAGGGGTGAGGAGATGGCGGTGGAGCGTAGGAGGAAGAAGAAGGCGCGCGCGAGGTGAGGAAGAAGGAGGTGTGCGTGCGGAAATTTCTACGCCTGCGCACACATAATGTAGTACTGCCCATACTTTACTTATATAGGTCGTCCTAACTTTATATGAGACTAAGCTTCTCTAATTTTGATTAGATTTAAGAAAAATACACAAAGATTAAACTAGCCTCATCAACTCTCTATAAAATATATCTTGATGGTGTATTTATTTCAACATGTCCATGTAAATAAAGAAAAAGGAGAGGAATAATATCCATTCCAACGTTGCCAAAACTTTCGATGTGATAATTAACTGATGATATTTTTCCTACTAAGGGCTTGTTCGGTTGTTTAGGATTCATGGCCTGGAATTATTCTTGGCTGGAATGATTGTGTATTCCGTATAACAATTTATGAGCTGGATTGGTTCCTGCCCCCCTTCCTGAATAACCGAACGGGCCCTAAGGCTATTACTAGTGCTCTGTCTGATACTCCCCCTTGAATAAATACTCCCTCTAAGTTGCTAAAGGAAGTCATTTTGGATAAGACTTGAGTCAAACATTGAAAATATAAATCATGAATAACTTTTAAGTTGTTGAGTTTGAAAATATGAAAACTATATGAATAGATTTGTCCTGAAAAATACTTTCATAAAAATATACATATATCACTTTTCAATAAATATTTTTATAAAATTAAGAAGTCAAAGTTGTGCTTTGGAGACCGTGTTACTATCCAAAACAACTTCTTTTAGCAACTTGGAGGGAGTATATTCCTAGCAAGTCTAGGACAGTTTAGTATGACAGAGAAAAGACCATACTACCCTTCATTAATTGAAGTAGTTGCACACTTATTAAGTTGCACAGTAATTATAACATTTACTACACCTATCTAATTGCAGAAACTCAAGTCTAGACCGGTGGAAAAGAGGGAGAAGGGAGGGGGTGTAAATATGAGTTGACTTCAAGAAAAATAAACGGGCAAGTGGACCTTAAGTCTTCTAGAGATTGATTTACTTTTATTTAAGAGGGAGAAGGGAGGGATGCAGTAAATATGAAGGAACTTCGAGAAAAATAAATGGGCTAGTGGACCGTTGAGCCTTCTAGAGATTGATTTATCTACAGACAATTTTTTGCGCTAGGAATCTATTTATTAGGGGGAGACAGAGGGAGTATATCGTTGCAACGATGCCATGTCATATCAACCCAAGTATCATATGGCTCATCTAATGCATATGTATAGTATTTTAGTGTTGTTACTTGAGAACAACAAACAATTAATTGTTGTTCTACCTATAAGAATGGCCAAGGTTCTAGTTTGGATATACTATGTTTTATCTCTCTTTCTCATTTATTTAGTGTCACGTCATCAAAATATTTTCATACAGCGCCCACGGAAACTAGCCTAATTCATAGTTTTCATGTTTAGAAGGTGTGCCATTAATAAATTATAGGTAGGTGTACCTTTCGCTGTCTAAAAACATTCTTGGACAATGATTAGTTCAACTTTAATAATGTATAAATCATATGCCACAAAATAATACTGTTAAATCCATACTTAAAAACATTTTTAATGTTATTATCTTATTGTAGCCATTAACAAAATATTACCAAAAGAATTTACAGTCAAAGATTAATTTCTAACGGTCAAACGAAATCCATTGATGGAGGGAGTAATTTGGTAGCTAATAAATGTTAGCTCCTTTATATTTTCATTAAATTAATGGTGTATCCGTCATGGATGCGTATTGGTAGCTAATAAATGTTAGCTCCTTTATATATTTTCAAACTATAATGACGTATCCGTCGTGGGATGCGTATTTTAAGTTTGACCAAGAGCTAGTAACATCAAACTTTGAAGTACGTATGTTTATATAGTGTATACTAGCCTTAGTATGGGCCCTACTGCTTGAAATAAAAAAGCCAAGCCATATTCCCAACGACCGCCACTTGTTCACGCAGGAGTCCGAGTCCATTGCCGTCAGCCCGTCACCCTCCTACGCGAGGCCGTCAACCCTGCTAACCTGTGGAAGAGCTCCTGTTGCAGTCCTCCACACCAGGCCACAACCGCCACCATCATATTTGTTGATAATTTATTTCAAAGAAGACGAAGATAATTGATTTCATAGCCATATTTGTTGACCTCGATTTCATTGAATTTTCAGATGTATTTTATCTAAATCTAATTCAAAATATTGATGAGTAGGTAATTCTGTAAAGGCGAAAGTCTATTGACCAAAAGGCTAATTGGATTCCCTGTTACACATGTATAGTAGACCTGATCAAAGGGTCGCGTTCGGGTCAGGCCAGAGAAAGTGATCAGGTCAAAATCTTTGATCCGAGCCCGATCTGACGTACTATTGGGTTAGACTATTTTTTGGGTTTTCATACTTTAGGTCAATTTTTTCGAGTTGGGTCAGGCCACGGGTCGAAAATCATAGCCTGGATCTGATCCGACATACTAGCAGATTAGGTCGAGTAAGGTTTCTTCGGCGGAGAATGGGTGCGGGGTTGGATAGATGTAAGAGTGTAACTTAATTTTGAATCTGAATAAACTAAGACAAGTCCATGACAAACCAAACTTTGCCATAGCTTGATGTAAATATTTTGCCCAATCCAACGTAATTGAATAGAGGTCAACTGTGTCAAGCTCTTTTCTTAGGCCTGGTTTGGATGCGTATGTATTCATCTTAATTCACATGTGTTGAAGTTAATTAGAGTGGAATGACCCCAACACATGTCGATTGAATTAGATACACATGCTTCCAAACAAGGCCTTAGCTCGTGAATCTCTTTGTGCAGTGTGCACCAAGTCAGCCCAGCCGACATGCTTCAGAAATAAGATAGCCATGTTATTTCTTCATGATGACATATTTTCTTATGTCATACAAACAATACTTAATCAGCACTCCTGCTATAGTTTACAGAATTATCGATGTCGGTGCTGACCATCCATCACATTCATTCATTCAAAGGGAGGCTATTCACCTATCTTCTGACGAAGAACAGAGCAACTCTTTTTTCCTTTCTGATGAAACTTGACCTCACCAGTAGACGGTTGACGACATCCTTGTTTAGCCCAGGTTCGTTGCAGCGATCAGCCCCTCCGATGCAAATTACAACTTTCTGGAGTGACCGTCGATACCTGAGTACTGTACGTAGAAATGTCGTTGTCATACTCGCATGGACCCCGTCAATTTTCGTGAGATGTGAAGCATCGTTGCCCGAAGGACGAGACAGCGCTTTCGCGATCCGCGGTCGTCCTTGCTTCTGGAGAGCACGTGCGTTTAGCAGCGCGTACGGTCAGCGCACCCATTCCACCACATGTTTCGTGTGCTCATCTCTCATCAGTGGACGTGCTTGACGGGCGACGAAACAAAGAACGCAAGGCGGCTCCTCACCGCCGCCCGATGCAAGCCCATGAACGAACGTCGTCGAATGCATGCGCCGCTCCGTCGTCTGTTCCGATTCCTAATCTGGGGGCGGCTTTGCTAACTTTCGTCCTGAAAACCTTTGAACAATTTACCTTTTTTAGTGTTTTGCTGGGTATAAAAAGTCTCATTTTTTGGTCCACAAACACGTGGGCAGCCCTCTCGATGTCTCTGGAAAAACTAGGTAGTGTAATTGGTTAGTAGTTGTAATGTATGGGTTTTTTTACTGTAGCGTAAACTAGTATAATGCATGCGCTAACGTTACAACAGCCCATAATAGATAAATCAGCGAACAGTACTTTCTAACCTGACTTTTCAGCGAAACGAACATGACCTAAACGAAATTGATACCCTCAGGACGTCCGTCCTTTCTGGACGGGACCGATGCGCCTGCCCCCGCGCCTCGCGTCGCGCGCCCCCACGCCTCATGTCTCGTGCCTCGTGCCAAAGGACGGGACGGACATGCCTGCCCCCACGCCTTGCGTCGCGCTCCTCGTGCCTCGCGTCACGCACCCTCGCCCGTGCCTCGTGCCTCCCGCCGTGCCGCAATCCATCCGCCTGTCGACCATGGGTGACCTCGAGCTTTGCGCCTGCGTCGAGCTCTGCGTGAACAAGCCTCTATTGTGGTGCAGCAAGTAGATGAGCACATGTTGCAACCGTATGTTTCATGCGCTTCAGATTTATGTTGCATATATTTCATCTGGATGTTGTAAAAGTAGATCTGGTGTTGCAATGTTGCAATAAATATACACGTATGTTGCAAGTGTATATTTCAAATGTTTCAGCTGTTTAAAATGTATGTTGCAAGTGTTTTATCTAGATTTTGTATATGTTGCACTGGCTATACATGTATGTTGCAAGTGTATGTTTCAAATGTTTTAGCTGTTTCAAATGTATGTTGCAAGTGTTTTATCTGGATGTTG